GGGTGGGACATGGAGAGCATGGGGCGGACGGGGATAGGACGTGGCGAGAGGAGGGGGAAATGCGGGATGGAACATGAGACTGGGCCAGAGGGGGATGGGACATGGAGAGCATGGTGCAGACGGGGATAGGACGTGGCGAGAGGAGGGGGAAATGCGGGATGGAACATGAGACTGGGCCAGAGGGGGATGGGACATGGAGAGCATGGTGCAGACGGGGATAGGACGTGGCGAGAGGAGGGGGAAATGCGGGATGGAACATGAGACTGGGCCAGATGGGGGAGGGGGATGGGAGGTGGCGAGGGCTGGGCAGACTCCAGGCTGGAGCATTGTCCCCATCCGGGTGGGGCTGGTTTGTCTCACGCTGGAGGTGACGGGGTGAAGTTGCCGATTCTCTGACATATGAGCAAGGCCAATAAAGCTTCAGAACTTCCCGGGGCCTCACGTCTCTATCTATCTGCCTGGCACCCGTGTCTCTGTCCATATGTCCGGCTCTCTCCAACCCTGTTGGGCTAACCAGAAACGGCACTATCAGAGGATGCGGGAGGAGGCAGAACATGTCCGTCTGTACTTCAGTGAGAGTGAATTTCTCTGTCTGCGCCAGCACAATGCAACAAAATGAGACAGTTGGGCTCTGGCCCATTGACTCCAAGGGAGCAGGGCCGGTTCATGCCAGCTGGGATCTGGCCCATTGATTCCAAGGGAGCAGGGCCGGTTCATGCCAGCTGGGATCTGGCCCATTGACTCCAAGGGAGCAGGGCCGGTTCACACCAGTTGGGATCTGACCCATTGATTCCAAGGGAGCAGGGCCGGTTCATGCCAGTTGGGCTCTGGCCCATTGATTCCAAGGGAGCGGGGCCGGTTCACTCCAGCTGGACTCTGGCCCTGTCTGCTCAATCTCTCTCCATTTCCCCCCCACTCCAGTCGAGTGCTCCCCACTTCCCCCAGGGGAGTGCCCCAGCTCCCTTAGGGGAATGCCAGACAGTGCATGGCTGATGAGCGCCCCCTCTTGGCCACGCCCCAGGTTGCTGTGAGTGGACCCAGCCCCTGGATCCCACAGTCTGAACAGAGCCCAGGCCCGGACCCTGTCTTGAGGTCCCCGGGCACACTCTAGGGGTGCAGACCCTCTGCCTAGCACCTGCCCTGGCAGCTTAGACACACGGCACACGGCCCAGCACCTGCAACCAGGGGTGACCCTTCAAAGTCTCCTGTAACTTAACACCTTTCTGGCAGGGCTACACCCAAAGGTGGGAGCCCTGGAGGGTCCCTCTTCACCGGCCCACCTGGGAGGGGCTGGTTCTGATCCAGGGGATGGGGAAGACACAGGACCTTTCTCCTCCTGTGTGCGCCAGCTCCCATCCACTCCAGGGCAGGGGACTGGCTGGCTCAGGGGGCAGGGAATGGGACCCAGGACCTTTCTCCTATGGAGTGCCACATGCCAACCACACCTACAGCTGCCACATCCCCCTCTCTCCTCCCCAGGGTAAAGGGCACGGACCCAGCCCCCCAGCCCCAGCCATAGGGAAGAGACAGAGTTTGTAAAGCACAGACCCACCCCAAACCAGCCCTGCTAGGAGCCAGCACTGCTCCCAGGGGATCAGTGGGGCTGGGCCCCTCATTGCAGAGCTGGGCTGGGCCTGGCAGGAGCCAGCTCCCTCCCCATGGGGTCAGTGGGGCCAGGCCTGGGACTGGGTGCGGGGAGGCCCAATTGTTGGTGATTTTATATGATCAGTGATTTTAAATGTTTAGGATAAGGGTTTTTATATTGTTTCCCCTCATCCATATGGACTTTGGTACTTTTCAATATGGAGTCGGACTTTCAAAAGTGGCTCTCAGCCACAGACTCCATTTTGTCCCCAAAGGTGGGAAAATTAAGGCGCCAAAGCTGTGGCGCGAGGCGCTGGTTCAAACTGGTTGGAACTGGCTTGGAACTGCCATCGCCTCAGAGCTTTCCTGCCACTCGCTCTTTATAAGGAGCCGCGCCAGGTCCCCACGGCGCTGTCCGGCCAGGAGGCAGCCGTGTGCGGTCGGGCTTTGCTCAGGTCTCCGGATCGAGAGCTGGGAAGGATCCTGTGACACCAGGGTCCTCTGGTCCACCAGTCAGCAGCTTCCCTTCCAGCAGCTTGTCACCGTCGGGCAGCCGAGACCCAGCGTTCCTCCCCAAAGGCCAGCGTTCGGCCACGGGTAGCAGGTCCTGGCCCCACCGCTCGTTGCCATCTGACCTGCCCAGAGATGACACCTGACTCGCAATCGGCTACACTGGGGATTTGTTATAGTCTTGTTGCCAAGGGAGGGGTCTGAGCTTCAAGCTCCTTTGTTGCCGTCCACTGGTTGCTGAGTTTATGTGTTTACTTGTGGCTTTCCCCTTACTCCTTTCGTGTCACCAACCCTTAATCCACTACTTACTTGTTTCAAACATACCTTTCTACACCATGCTTGGGAGGGAGGGTGGGACACAGGAGCTGCTTCCTCAGGTCATAGGCGCCGATTCTGTGGGTGCTCCGGGGCTGGAGCACCCATGGGGAAATATTAGTAGTGCCAAGCTCCCCGCCCTGTCCCACCTCCGCCTCCACCTGCTCCCCTGTGCGTGCTGTGTGCCAGCTCCTCCGCCTACCTCCCAGCATTTGCAGCCACCAAACAGCTGTAGCAAGCTCCGGGAGGGATGGGGTAGGAGCGGGAACGTGGTGCACTCAGGGGAGGAGGTGGGGAAGAAGCGAGGCCGGGGTGGGGATTTGCAGGAGTCGGAATAGGGGCAGGACAGGGGTGGAGTCGGGGCAGGGCTGGAGACAGAGGGGGGTCAAGCACCCACTGGTGCCAGTAGAAGTTGGTGCCTGTGCCTCAGGTGATAGACCCTGATAACAAGACCAGGAACACGTATCTGTAAGAGGGAAACAGAGAGGCAGATTGGGGTTCATTTAGTTTTGATTTTTCCCTGGATATACACAATCACTGTGAACAGCAAATTGAACACCTGAGAGACAAACCAGAAAAGTCTTTTCTTGGGGAAGAGGTGGGTGGGGAATAAGCTGGGCTGGGGGAAGTGGGGATGGGATGGGGGCTGAGGGTGGGAGAGGGATGGGGCGGGTGACAGGGGAGGTCTGACCACAGTGATCGACTACTCGGGCGGCTGGGCCGAGCACCCACCACACAACTGCCGCCGCCCTGCTGTTTACAGGCACTAGTACAGGTCTGTCTACACGAGCTGCCACACGCCTCCCAGTTGCTGTGGAGACGAACTTCCCCATCGCATCAGTCACCTGTGGGCCCTGTGCACATACTGGTGGGGTGTCATTTCCATGGCTGCTTTCAGATTTGGGCTGGCTGTTAACAGCCTGATGAAGCGCACAAATGGTGTAGATCCAGTTTAGAGAGGGGCAAACTGAGGCACCCAGACAGGAGGGGACCCGCCAAAGACAGCTGCAGAGCTAAGGCTGGAACCCAGGCGTCCTAGAACCCAAGCCCCTGCGTAGCCCCCAGAATCATTCTTCCCACCGTCTGCAGCGGAAGGGCCCGTGTCTGGTCAGTGCCCTGAACGAGTGTCAAAAAATCGAAACGTAACCAGGGGCTGGAATCTGTCTGGATGAGGTGCAGCGGCTGTGACACCAGAGCTAGGGTTGTGTGCAACACTTTTGTGTTTGGACAGTGGCAAAAATGGTTCAATATCTCATGTTGTTGAGGGAGTTTTAATAAAACAAAACCTGGGTTGTCGTTTTTGGCCCATGATGGACCGTTTGGTGAGTTGATTGTACAATTTGAGGGTCTAGAAGGTTTACAATAAATTGTTGAAAAACAAGTGTGTTGGTGATGTGTGCATGCACGCGCAGGTGTGTGTGTGTGCGCACTATTTTCTTCATACTCCTCTAGCAGCAAGATCCCATCACAGACATGATCCACATTTGCATACAGCATCGTTCACATACACGGTAAAAAGCAATAAAGAGTCCAGTGGCACCTTATAGTCTGTTAGTCTATAAGGTGCCACAGGACTCTGTCGCTTTTTACAGATCCAGACTAACACGGCCCCCCCTCTGATACTATACAAGGTAAAGTACTTTAAAGTGATCGTGGTA